AATCAAAAGACTTTTTTGAGGATTGCTTAAGATGTTTTTCAGATCCTGAATTCCAACAAAGCAGCTAAAGTCAACCACTTTGAAGACCCCCACAGAGGAACCAAATCAGTATGAGAATACACCATCTTCATCTTCCTGTCCTGTGGCTTCACACTGCACTATTCAGCCAATCCACCATCTCCACACTTCGGCCCACTCCAATACCCCAAACTCCTTGGGGAGATGGATTTGAGGGTTCCTCCTGTCTTCTTGTTTGGTGGCCCCACAATAATACCTCTTTCTCTGCGCAACCAGATGTCTTGGTGTACTGACTTGATGCATGCGTTGGGCGGTGGACCTATTACAGTTACAGTAGGAACCCCTGAATTATAGCCAGTGGGTCAGAAGTGCAGGCGGCCAGGACTTGCAACTAGCGTCTGAAGTTGTGGGGGTCTTGTGGGGATGAGCCCTTAACCTGTGGGGTCTGTGCTACCTCCAGGTGGAGAGTGTTAGAATTGAATGTAGGACATCCAGTTGGCGTCTGGAGAATCAGAGAATTGGTTATTGGTGTTGAGAAAACATTCCAGACACCTTGAAAGTAGGAGAGGCAGATGAAGATTTAAAGTCCAAACCTGAGTTGAAGAGAAATGGTAAAAACTGCCGGCCAATGCTGTCTCCTCACTTGGTTCATGGGTAAGATAGAAAGCACTGTGAAATAGACATCAACAGCGTTTCTTCAAGTGCGGTCCTAGGAGCAACGGCATGGGGATCACCTGAAGTGCTTGTTAGACCCTGGCAAATATTCTCTCCCTCGCCTGTCTCTAAGCAGGCACCTCTCAACTCTCTTCTCAACCAGGCTGTGACTTCTGGCCTTCCTTGTTCATCTTTGCATTGTCCAGTTTTAGCCAGAAGCCTGCTAAGTCAGTTTAGCCAGAATGCCCCAACCTTGATATCTGATTACGTTCCTCATCCTCCACCAACGCCTAGGTGACGTCTCGTCACTCTGGCCTGCCTTCAGCAAGAATCCTGTTTGGTCAATTTAGCTGGAATCCTCCCATAGCCCTGATGTTTCCTCTGATCCTCCCACCACCCCCACCAACTCCTCAGCTATAAATTCCCATGTTTCCTTGCTGTATTTGCAGTGGAGCCTAATTTCTTGCCCCGACTGAATGCAAAACCCCATTGTGGCGTTCCCTACATCTATGGCGATAGTCTCCCTGAACAATGTCTGCCTTGGCCTCCTTTATCGAGTGTCATGAGCAATTTTTTTCTTTAATAACATGAAGATTCCTGGATCTCTGCATCTCTTTAACACGAAGAACCAGAATCTCAGAGCATGAAGACATGGCACTGTCATTTTTAACATGATGACTATGACATATGCTAAAGTTTGAGAACTATGGTCTGTCCAAATGAAGAGTCGTTGCCAAGTGTGGTGGCTCACACCTGTAATCCTAGCACTTTGGGAGGAGGAGGAGGACACCTTGAGCCCAGGAGTTTGAAACTAGCTTGGGCAGCATAGCGAGATCCCGTGTCTACAAAAATTTTTTTAAAAAATTGGCAGCTGGGCACAATGGCTCATGCCTGTAATCCCAGCACTTTGGGAGGCTGAGGCGAGTGGATCACCTGAGGTCAGGAGTTCGAGACCAGCCTGACAAATGTGGTGAAACCCCACCTCTACTAAAAATACAAAAATTAGCCAGGCATGGTAGTGTGTGTCTGTAGTCCCAGCTACTCAGGAGGCTGAGGCAGGAGAATCGCTTGAGCTTGGGAGGTGGATGCTGCAGTGAGCCAAGATTGTGCCACTGTACTCCAGTCTGGGCAATGAAAGGGAAACTCTGTCTAAAAAAATAAAAATAAACATTGGCAGGTGAAGTAGCACACACCTATAGTGCCAGCTACTCGGGAGGCTAAGGTGGGAGGGTCACCTGAGTTTGGGAGGTTGAGGCTACAGTGAGCTGTGATTGCGCCCCTACAGTCTAGCCTGGGCAACAGCAAGATCCTGTCTCAAAAAAAAGAAAAAAGAAAAAAAAAAAAGAAAAACAAAAAAAAAAAAAAAAAAAAAAAAAAAAAAAAAAAAGTTATGAACAGTCTCTACACACTCAAAATGCCTTTTACTTTTATATAGAATATTAGAGCTGCAAGGGCGTGAGTCTTCAAATGTGGACAACAGAAATTGTAATTTGGCTAAGATCACTCGATCAGTGTCCTAACAGACTGGAATCCAAATATCCCTCGGCCACACATACACGTGCATACTACATTTAACTTGAACATGTTATCCATTATTTCTTATTTTCTATGCAAGGGACCCACAGACTTTCACACGTGAACATTCACTTTTTCTTGCTCAAAATCAACTGAAATTTAGACAAATCTGAAAAGAGATGACTTAAATTGGAGTATTTATTTTACCTATGGAAAGTTCTGACATCTTGCTGATAATGATGACATCATAATGAGCACAACAAACACGTTTTGTAAAAAGGTTTCTAAGGGACAGCTCAGTGTCATTTCTAGTCATGGCTACTTCTCACTGCCCAAGTCTCACCAAGGAGGGAGATTTTTTTAGTTCATTTCAAGTGGTAAGTACAATGTTATTTTAGTGGATTAGAGTATTGCTTCCCAAATGCAATTTCAAACTGCAAAATGTTAGATCCTGAGGATTGTGCATGTGTGATAAACCTTTCCTTGGAAGTATTATCCTTTAACCTGGGATTATGTCCCTACTTCGGGGTTGAGAGGGAAATGATGAGGCTGGAGTTAAAATGTCTTTCTTGTTATGAATAATGGGTGATAACTTTAAAAAATGTTACCTGGCAAAAATAAATGGTGGATTTTTTTCAAATCCATAAAATCGAAAGTTTGTAAACACAACTAAGTTATATCATATTATCTTATTACTATGTTCTCACATAGTGAATCTCATTTTAGCATAAAATCAATGTTCATACAGATCACACACCCAACATCCTCACCCTTAGTTCCACATCATTTCCACAATGGTCTCTTGCATGCCACTTCATTCTTCTTGGTCTCACCATTTTCATGATAAAATCTGTGGCCCCTCCAACTCAGACAACCTGTTTCTGACCACAGCCTCCATCATTCAGTGCCGGTGTTCCCCTCCTCCCACAACAGTGGATCTTCACGTCCCTCAGGGCCATCAGGCCATGGGTCACATGTCTTATTCCTTATTAGTCTCTTCTTTTCATTTATGTCTCCCCAGCTTAGAGTCCATAGTTCACCAATTCAGAAAGTCATTTTGCAGTACCCCAAAATCTGTGCCTCCTCTGTCTTTTTAAAATAAATGTGGGCAAAAGCCCAAAGTGTTACTGGGTAGATTCACACAGCAGTGCAGCCTGGAACACTGCACATTGGTACTCATTGGTTTCAACTGGGCACCTACACATGGCCCAGCGACCTTTCTAATTTCTGGTCAACTCCCACTCCTGACAATGATTGTTTCAAGCCTGCCTTACTCTTCTAGCCCTCGATCTCACTATCATTTCCCTAACTTTTAACAGAGTTCTTGTCTTCTGCTTCACAGAAAATGTAGAAGTTACAGTAAGAGAACTTCCTGCCACCAAACTACAAATTTAAGTTCATTCACACCCACCCTCTCATACTTTCCCATTTAAAAAAAAAACAAAACAAAAAGTTTCTTTGCCTCTTTACACCCCACCCCCAGCTATGCTCGGATTTACTGCATGGGGCTCTTAGGAACCTTACACTGTCAGTTACCTTTGCCTCTAGTATCTCCAGTCTTTCTCTTAACCGGATCCCCGCCATCAGCATTAAACCTACTCAAATCTCTCTCACTTAAAAACCCCCAATCTTTTAACTCACCTTCCCCTCCAGCTCCAACTTTCTCTTGTGTGGAAGCTCCAGTGTATTTAACCTGTCTCCTTCACGGTTGAGTTGCTGTCATTTTTTAACACCCAAACAGTGTTGTGATGAAAAGCTCGTATACAATTTTGTACACACATAGATGTATGGGTAGGCTGGATTCTGAAAAATGGGACTGCTGCTTCAAAGAAGAAATAATTTCATAGGTATTGTCAGATTCCCTCCACAGGGAATTTTACCATACTGCACTCCCACCAATGGAAGAGTATACATTTCCCACATCTTGCCAACAGAGTATGTTCCCAAACTGGGGTTTTGCCTGCCTGATAGACGACAGATGATACCTTAATGTGCATTTCTCCTATTACGATGCAGAGCAAGCTCTTTATTGAATTTAAGGGACATTTGGGTTTTCTTTTCCTGTGAACTGTCTGTTCGTGTCCTTGGCTCATTTTCCTATTGGGTTGCTGGTCTTTTCCTTTGTAGTGTGAGACTCCTTTACACATAGCAAGGAGACAGGAATAAGCAGATTTTCCTCAACACTTTATAGAACCACCGCTTTCTTATGGGCTTAAAGAACTCATTCATGCCACTCTTGATTCCCCAGAAATGAAGTCCCCTTTCCTAATTAGAACAATTTTGTTTCTGATTTAAAACTAATATATGCTCCTTATGGAAATACTGGAAGAAATTTACAACCACCCACAACCCCACTTTCCTATATTCCTTTTCTCAGCATATGAAGTAAAAAGACAGCAAATTCCTCTGTCAAACTCCCAGTGCCCAGAGGAGGCCATCAATGAAAAATCAAGGCTTGCTGCATATCTCCTTAGGCTGTTCTTCCCATTAGACACATTTAAAATATACCTGGGGGGGAAAAGTTTCAAATTCACAAATACGGTCCCATTTAAGGCCTGAGATGTATGGAAACAAAGTATCTTCCTGGCATTGTGGTCATTTCAGGGTCAGGACCTTCTGCGAGAGGACCTGGGAAGCATTAGGGATCTGTCTTCCCTGTTCAGTAACTGCTACCTCCTCAAAACACTCGGCAAGGGTTCTGGGGCTTCCTCTTTGACTCTTCCAAATCAAGCTTCTGGTGAAAAACACTTTAATTTCCAACTGGTAGCACAACATCAAAAACAACAGAACAAAAAACTCAAAACACATTGGTAATTTTAAGTTTGAATGTATATTTTGAAAAAAAAATTTGTACAAAGTTGTCACACAGGAACACACTTTAAGATATCATTACATGCTACGTGTATTTACAAAAGTTACAAATTTAGTTAAAAAAAGGCAAGAACCTTGTCATTAACAAATGTGAATTCATTTTTTGAGCAATAAGAAATCTGAAATGTCAGACTGGAAGGCAGTGAGACTCGGTGCAGTGAGGGCTCAGCGCCTGCTGTGTGGGGAGGCCTAGAGTCTGCCTCCCGGGCTGGGTGCGTAGCTCTGGCCTCCGGCTGGAAGCCGTCTAGAGTCCTATATGCCATGGTCCTTTTCTTTAAGTAAACAGTATAAAACATTACTATTTTCCTTTGAGTGTAAACATCAACAGAATATAACATACTTAAGAATTTTACTACAAAGAGTGCTATGAGTTTTATTATGACTCACCACCTTTAGAACATTTCCATTTCAGAAGTTTCTGATTTGGTTCACTTTCTTACTTGGCAATGGGGCCCTGGCGGCATCTTCAACACGCCAGTGTGTATGGTGAAGCGAGCTGCGGGCCCTTCCTGAAACCACGGTCTGCGGTTCTGCCTTCATGGAACAGGCTGTGCCGTGCCTCTGCTCAGGCTCAAACCATCAGACAGCTCAGCCCATACGTTTATTACTTTCCTTACATTCTACTTTTTATTATTTAAGTTACATTTTCATATGTTCCTATACAATTTATTCACATGATCTGGCTGGTAATCAACAGTTTGGGGTTCTTATACAATAGCTCTTCAGATATATTGCTGGTATGTGAAGCTCAACTGATTTGCATAGGGACAAATCAGAAGGTATTTATGCTGGTAGGTCAGCGGCATTATAGCACCTTCAGTTAAAACTCCACCCCTCTACCAATGTTATATTTTGGCCTTAAGAGTCAACTTCGTTTGCGCATACTTTCTCTCACAAAAAATATTTAGTGTCTCTCTCAATATTAAACATTATTATTATTTATTTTTTTTTTTTACAACAAAGGTGTTTAGGACAAAAATCACAAAACCATTATCTCAGATAAATGGTCTAAAAATGCAGTTGACTCATGTTTGCCTATCAATTCTAAAAAAAAGGTTCACGCTTTTGAGTACTGCCCATAGATGACTAAGTTCTTCCACATCATTTCTATAGTTTCATAAAACTAGATTACACAGTCTTAAGTGGAAGGAATATCATAAAAAATTCATTAATTACTTTTTCACAGTTACTTGAAAATTTATAGCATAGCATCACTATAACTTGCTAATCATGAAAGCTACAAATTAACAATCATTGCCTTTCATAATGACTGCACCAGTATCCATTTTTATTTATTTCTAATTAAATTCAATTGCAACTACCTGATTGTAAGTTTGAGGTAGCTTCATAGTGGATCTACCTGATGGAAGGAGTATGTCTCAAAGTACCCTCTGTAGCATGAAAGTAGGTTAAAATGAGAGAGAAATACAGTAGCAGGCATACTGTCTTCTCACTTGTCACACAAAGTAAAAAAACCACCAGCCAACCATTTCTTTACTGATAAAAATACAGTTCTTTTGTGAGCATGGAAACAATACATGGAATCTGTTTCTTGGCATGAAAGGTAGCATCAAAGGAAGAGGACTCAAATTCCGTTGCCACCTTTCGGTTAACCCGGGTCAGGATGTGCATAAACTCAAGCTTGTTGGCATACTGTTTCAGCATGGCACACAGCGACTGGATGAACCAGGAGCCATCCCTTGAATTTCGCCAAGAATAATAACCTACGAGGCAAAATACAACCGACATACCATGGATAGTTGACATTAGTTGATTCTATAAATTATTACGTAGTCATACAGGCAAAAATAAGCACAAGCTGATTAACTATACAAAGAAAAAAGACACCTTTGGTTTCAGAAGAAATGATGTTGAAGAAGGAAGAATGTGTGCTATGCATACTCCCACCCCTGCTTTCAGCAAAGAAAGGGACCGGTGGACTAGCTTCACAAACACTGAATTATTGAAAGTTTTACTTTCTGGACTCCCCTTTCAATAGGCGAGAACAGCAAACATGCAACAGATAAGATGCAAAAGTGAAGATGCATAAAAAGGATCATTATAAATAACACAGTATTCCAATCACATTTCACCTTATTTTAATACTGACTTAGCCAAGAAATAAATTGCTTTCAGTGTCCTATTTGTCTACAGAGCATCTGAATAAAGTATAATACACATTTTCAAAAAGTCCAAAAAGGGAAAATAGTGTATTTATCATACTTTTTTTTTTTTAGGTTAACTGTTAGACCCATTGCCTTTAACTTAGAGGTACTTTGCTTAGGAAGATGCCTCGAGGATAAAAGAAACCACACTGCACATATTTTAAAATGCAACACTGCATAAAAATACATTTAGTTGGCTGGGCACGGCGGCTCATGCCTGTAATCCCAGCACTTTGGAAGGTCGAGGCAGGTGGATCGCCTTAGGTCAGAAGTTCGAGACCAGCCTCACCAACATGGAAAAACCCCATCTCTACTAAAAAATACAAAATTAGCCAGGTGTGGTGGCACATGCCTGTAATCCCAGTTAGTAAGGAGGCTGAGGGAGGAGAATCGCTTGAACCCTGGAGGCGGAGGTTGCAGTGAGATGAGACAGTGGCATTGCACTCCAGCCTGGGCAAGAAGGGCAAAACTCCGTTTCAAAAAACAAAACAAAACAAAAAACATTTCCCATTTCCTTCAGGTGTCAAGCCCTCTGGCACCCTGAGTCAGCTGTATAAGTAAATGGTGGCATAATCAACAAATATTTAGATGATGACATGTACAGCAGAACTGTAAAAAAGTGGAGATTAACGGCAGATTCATATGTCATTTCTTACCTTCTCTATTATCTCCCACTCCACATCTATCCTCTCATATACTAGTCATGTTTATCTTTTTTATTTACTACCTTTCAAATAATTCCTGAGAAACATACTCTTCTTCTTTAAGATGCAGGGAAGCTCTGTTTTGGCCTCTTGCCGTGTAATATTCTACCCGGTAAAAAGTCCAATGAATGACATTGCACTAGTCTACTCTGTGTATGCATATTTTCTTTCTTTTTTTTGGGACGGAGTCTCACTCTGTCACCCAGGCTGGAGTACAGTGGTGCCATGTTGGCTCACTGCAACCTCTACCTCCCAGGTTCAAGTGTTTCTCCTGCCTCAGCCTCCCGAGTAGCTGGGATTATAGGCACATGCCACCACACTCTGCTAATGTTTTTTGTATCTTTAGTAGAAACGAGGTTTCACATTGTTGGTCAGGCTGGTTTTGAATTCCTGATCTCAAGTGATCCACCCGCCTCGGCCTCCCAAAGTGCTAGAATTACAGACATGAGCCACTGTACCCAGCTATGAATGCATATTTTCTAGCCAAACTTTTGCCTAAAGACACCTTTTTGAGACTTCTCTTTGATGAAGTTACCCTAAAATATAGATAAGTTTGTACCTTTAGGGATATTGAAATCTTGACAGTCTCTGAAACACACTCTTCATTGTATAATTCTATGATTAGTCACAGAAAATTCATTTAAAATCCACATGTAACATTCATTATGTGTAAAGTTCTCACCAGGTGCTGTGGAGTATGCATACAAGAAGTCGGCCTCTACTGGTATTTTATGACATGCCATGTCATCATCAACACCGCTGTCTGTCTCAATGCCACAGTCCAGTTCTGTACCACGGCAGGCCTGGGTATTAGAAAATAAATATTTATTTATAAAAATTTGTATGTGCACATATAACTTATTTCTCAGAAATTGAAACGTTATGTAAAAATGGATGTTAATTATGTTGAGTCTTTTTGATATGTCAGTATAAAATTAAAATTTACTCCATATCTTTTAAGTGGTAGTTTAAGTAAATGAAAAGTAACAATAGTTTCTTAGCTTCAGGAAAAAACCACAAATCCTTTGGATAACTTACAATTGAGAAAATTAGCCCCTGATTAATCTTCAATAACCAAATCACTCAGTTATACATTACCTGAATAATGAAAAGTTTGGGTTTTCCAGTTAGACTTCTACAACAATCCCCTCTGAAAAAGCTTGTTATTTTTTTCAGGTCAACAGGTCCATTTGTTCCAAAAATTATTCCTTCTTCACCATGGCTCAGAAGCACGCAAACAAAACTGCTCCTTTTGCTGTGATCTTCTTTAGAAACTGAAAAGACATTTGCAAATAAAAGGAAAAAAATCCATGACTTTATTCAATAACTTCAGGTATACTGTATGGGAATATGATGAACAGAATAAAACTAAGAGATCATCTTAACCTAACCTGGGCCTCAGCAACATATCTCAAAGGAAGTTGGCATAAATAACTTTTTTTTAACTTCTTACTAAAATAGGTAAGATTAGAATTACGTACAATTCCACAATTCTCATATTTTACAAGTTCACTCTTCTAATTGTTTCTTACCATTACACATCAATTCCACAATTTCTTCACGTGTAAGATCATTTTTATTCCTGACTTCATATTTCAAGTTCATGAATGTTTCCCTGAGGTTTGCTGCATCGACATCTGTACCAGACCGAGATGCCATTCCTTGGAACAGAAAGAATTACTTTTGATTGTATTGAAAACAAAGAATAACTACTTTGAAATGAAATGAGCTACTCAGCAATTCAAAAGTCCACAATAATCTTCCTTATAAATGGAAGAGAATTCTAACGATTTTGATCATGGTGACATAAAATCTCTTCAATTTTGTAGCTTATAAGATACTTCAAAATATAACCTTATTAGTCTTATATCCAAAATATCTTACACAGCTGTTTAGGTGGTAAAAAACAGAAACAACTTACATGTCTAACAATAGTGGTTTGGTCAGACAAGTTATACTCACTTATATAATGGGATATACTATGTTGTCATTTTTAAAGAGAAAATTTTGCCATGGGAAAATCATTGTTGAAAAAAATAAAACTAGAAAACAATATGATCCTATAATACATACATACATCTATTACACTCAGAGGAACTGCGTATCTTTGATTCTAACTTCCCAACAATTTGGAGATAGCATTATAACATTTATAGTGTCTTCAGGGAAAACCCCCAAATGTTATTACTGTTCATCAGATATTCTGCTATGGGTAATCTTTCATCCTTCCAATCACCAAGAGTTGTATTATTACTAGTTTCACTTGTGCAGATGTGGGACATGTAGTCAAGTCAACAAACTAGCCCAAAGTGACAAAGCTATGCTGGGCCTATATCCTGGGCTCCTGGCCTTTCTACCGCTCCTTTAAATAACCTTCCACGTTAATGTACAGATTGACTGCATGATGTACTCACACTTCAAAACGCTAAAATGTTGGTAGGAAACACACTTCAGAATAGAGTAAATTTGGTGTGTATGAAAAAATACAACAAGTCTATATACATCTCCAAAATGTTGATTATCTCAGCTGTGTGACAAGGTCACTGGCTTCTGGTGCTGGTGTGTTGGCTGCCTTTTTAAAAAAATCTTTTCGTTTTTTAGACAGGATCTTGCTCTGTGGGCCAGAGTACAGTGGTGCAACCACAGCTCACTGCAGGCTTGACCTCCCGGATTCAAGCTACCTTCCCACCTCAGCCTCCAGAGTAGTTGGGATCACAGTTGCACACTACCACACCCTGCTAACATTTTTCTATTTTTTGTAGAGATGGGATTTCCCTATGTTGCCCAGACTGATCTTGAACTTTGATGCTTAAGGATCCTCCAGCCTTGGCCTCCCAAAGTGTTGTGATTACAGGCATGAGTCACGGCGCCTGGCCCACAGAGATCTCATGAGAACCTGATCTTTACATTGCAAACTAGGAAAGGAACTCACTGAGGGCAAACCCAGATTGCTGGTCTAAATATGTGGGGGAGGTGATGGTGGTAGTGGAATGATATGCTTGTTTTTGGTTTTTTAAACAACAGATTCAAGTGCAAAATTCTACAGGAAGAAGGTATCCTCACTAGAAATGTGAGGCAGAATTATCTAGAAGTAAATTTTCACATATGCATAAAGCAAACGTAGACAAGGTGTTGTGTTTTTTAAGTTAATGGTTGAAGGTGGCATCTCAACTTATAGCCAAAAGCAGTAAAAGTGTGCCATTTAGAGCTCCATCTTCAGCTATTATCTCCTCGCTCCTCGTTACTGAGCTGACACAAACCCTGCCATCTTCCCAGTGTAATCTGGCTTCCTTTCATTTCCACCACCGATAGGTACTGTCCTAGATTAGATCTACTATAGCTTCTCTAACTAAAAATTGACTCTAATATGATTAATATGCCAATTCAAAGAATTATTACAGCATCAATTTAAAAGGGAAACAGGCATAATGTTCATTCATATAGTAAATTATGCAACTTAAGTGAATGGTGTATTTTGGGGATGTATTATATAATCATTATAACATAAAAATTATACAGCAATGTAAAAAGAAGCTATTAGTGAAACAAGCAGAATACAACATTGCTTACATGTTATGAATAAAATCAAGCTTTAAAAAAACTGTCAAGAAAAAATATCAATACACCAAATGTTAATTAGCTTTTTTGGCATTGTGAAGGATTTTGTTATCTATATTTCTTTTTTTTTTTTTTGAGACGGAGTTTCCCTCTTGTTACCCAGGCTGGAGTGCAATGGCACGATCTCGGCTCACCGCAACCTCCGCCTCCCGGGTTCAGGCAATTCTCCTGCCCCAGCCTCCTGAGTAGCTGGGATTACAGGCACGCGCCACCATGCCCAGCTAATTTTTTGTAGTTTTAGTAGAGACGGGGTTTCACCGTGTTGACCAAGATGGTCTCGATCTCTTGACCTCGTGATCCACCCGCCTCGGCCTCCCAAAGTGCTGGGATTACAGGCTTGAGCCACCGCGCCCGGCCTGTTATCTATATTTCTTAAAAAAAAATTATCAAATGTAGTACCACATTAGTTTCACATAGTACAGAAACCAAGAGGGGGATCTATCTGGTGATCAGGCCATGGTATATGTAAAGAGAGAAGTTTCAGTGGGAGAGACAGAAAACAGAAAAAGACTCGAGGAGGAATGGAAACAAGTGAAGAGCACAAGCTTAAACTACATGTTTTCAAAATTTAAGGAAGAAGGGGAGGAGATAAATATCAAAGGAATTAAAAGGAACCGGATAAAAGAAGGATCCTTCTGATGGGCAATCTCTGTCAGCTTCGTAGGTAAGAGAAGACAGGCAACAGAGCACATGAAGATACAAGGAAGTGAAGCAGAACAGAAGACGGATTCAACGCTTGCGCCGTGGAGCCGCACAGGCTGAGCTCTGCCATCACACTACCTGTTCTGACTGTGCAAGGTTTAAAAACCTTTCAGAATTGAATTGTTTCTTTCCGGTTGTCATAAAATTAAAAAAGGCAATGCTTGTGATATGTCTTGTAATTTCTGGGGAAACAATAAATACTACTACTCAGCTGTTTTTTGAAAACCTTCCATTGGGATCAAAGAGGGAGCAGAAAGATGAAAAAGTAGCAAAGACTGGGGAGAAGTCAGGACAGAAGCAGCTAAGCATGCAGACAGGAAGCCAGCTGTTGGGAGGGGAGACTGAAGTCGAGCCGAAGAGTGAAGAGTTCACAGCGTATCACAGGACCTGAAGGTCCTGCCCTATCTCTACTTCACAGCTAGTCTGTGTCACAGTTTAATGACTAATAATACCTCAATACTGCTTTTAATATTATAGCAAATGTAAATGGCACAAATATTTAAAAAGGATTAAAAATTATGTAAGATACATACCAGTGCTTTTATGAAAGTTCTTATTATTAATTATTATACATAAACCCATTTCAGGATAATCCATTTTATAACTGTTGTCCAGGGATATTCCAGAGTCCACTGATTTGCTTCCATGTATGATCTTTCTGTTTAAAAATCAAAGAATAGCTTTACAAAGGTAGAAATGACCATGCTTTCTGTTTACATTAGTGCAATTTTTATAACTCACAGTAACAGTTAACACTTGTTGAATGTTATAAACCAGGCTGTCTTCATTACAATTTCATATCAACACATGTTACACATGAGCAAATGACCTGACATGAGGCTAAGTAATGTGCTGAAGGTTTTGCAAAGATTGTGCCACAGCCAAGAAGGAAGGAAAGTATCTGCTGGGCTTCAGAGTTCAGGCTTTTAGCTTCCATGTTTTACATTTTCCTCTGAATTCTTCAAAATTTCATCAAATACCTTTATAATTTAAAAATTACTTATTAACTTTGTGAAATATTTTATTCTTGGAGGTAAGAGTAAAATCTTAAAAGTTACCCTGACATGATGGGAAATCAACAAAATGTAAATATAGCTCAAAGCACCATATTTATCACAATTAATAAATTGTTCCTTAAATCCCATGAGGTAAACAAATTAGTAATTTATTAATATATAAAAACATTATTGTAAATAATGAAAATATCTGTAAGTCACTTATCTAAAAAATCCCTCTGGTATCTAGATAAGGGGGTCAGTATTTT